AAAAGATATTTAAAAAAGAACTAGGTGGAATAATTAATTTGTCTTAAGATGCTGTAAAAAGTGCGGGGGCTGTCAAGGGTGAACAGATTAAAGGGAGTCATGCTGACAACTAAATGCCACGAGATCTTGGAAAAACCGAGCTTGAAGGATTACTCGTGGTCTTTTGAACATGAGGTTAGGTTTGGTGAGCTCATCCTGATCATTTATCCGTGCGGTGCCGGGGAAAGTTGAGGACGGTCAGATTCAAGGACGCCCACCCCAAACCTTTTAAAAGCTGCAGTAAACCTTGAGGACTGGTGACAAACAGATCAACCGTGGAGAGTCAGCACAAAAACAAAAGGAGCAAGGCCAAATCTGAGTGGGCGAGTTTCATTTACATGTTGGGTATTTTGTTAGTTTTCCTGACAATCACTAAAATAATGCAACTCATTTATTCTTTGCAACAAACTGAAAATGTAATAAATTCTTAGATTAGCTGCAAAGAAAGTCTAAATCTGTTAATTTTGCTATAAATTCACACCTAATTATTATAACTTGAAAATGTTTTTTGCTGAATTTTATGTATTTGTGACATCTGCTTCCACTATTATTGCTGACAAACTAACAAGCAGCGACTTCCTCCTCTGAAATAAACACAAGGCTTCTGCTGTGAGACCTTGTTGACATTTTCAAGTCGAGATTTCACAGTCAAGCCAAGCTGTTAATTAACTGGATCTCACTCACCTTTATTTATTTATTTATTTATTTCTGTTTATTTTAAGAGAGAGAGGTGGAAATAAAACAGGTAACTGAATGGAAATGACAGCATCAACTGTTTGGGTAAATTTTAATTGAAATTGTTCATTGCAAGAAAAAATAACACACCCTCAAAAAGCCACAAAATAATAGTTTTAGTTCTATGTTGTATTTTTATTTCATAATCTCACTTTTTTGTGCAGAAATAGCACAGAATACCCATAAGTATGCTCAAAAGTTTAATTAGGTCAAAGCTTTTAGATTTGCGCGTGTTTTCCACAGTAGGAATCGAATTAAAATAATAGTGCACCAATAATAGAGAGGTGTGCAATATGATTACGTCATATTTTACTATTTCTATTTGCTCATACTCAAAAAAAAACCTTAACGTTATTACAGGTCTCAGCAGCCTACCAGGGGCGGCGTTAGGCGTAGATGCTCTTAAAACCACATAAAACAAATAATACAATTAAAGGTTATGCAATGACCTTACCGTAGATGCTCCTCCTTCCTTGCAGCATGCACTTTCCTCCTTCTATCTGACCGCTGAAAGCTCCTAAATTTCTCTTTAAACTCCATAAAACTCTGGTTTCTTCCTTCAGGTTGTTTACTATTCATCATTAGAGCTAAAATATTACTTTATTACAGTTAGTTTTATGACATAATCCATTTTATTTCCAAACCACGTATAGTTTTTCCCGAATTTCAATCAGTGGGCGGAGCCTAAATCCACAGGTTTGCCTGCTCATCATCTCACCTGTGCTGCTCAGTTTGATTGACATCCTATCACAGCCTCTAAAACAGGAGCGTTTCCTGCTTCCTTCACTCATCAGAAAGAAACTTCCTTCAGGAAGTGTTTTTTTTTACTGCACAGCAAATAGAACTTTTGCTCAAACACATAAAATGAATGAAAAATATTTTTATAGATCACTTTAGTTAATTTATGCGAATTTTTGTCTGTTTCAATTAGGTTTTGTTATATAACTAGTTAATTCCATGTGTTTTCTTATTCAATTAGCCTATTATTATTGTTGTTGTTGTTATTCGTACTTTTTGGTTGCCTTCTAATTTTCGTGATTCCAGAGCTTTGTTTTGAGATGCGCTATATAAAAATTTCTTTCTTTCTTTCTTTCTTTCTTTCTTTCTTTCTTTCTTTCTTTCTTTCTTTCTTTCTTTCTTTCTTTCTTTCTTTCTTTCTTTCTTTCTTTCTTTCTTTCTTTCTTTCTTTCTTTCTTTCTTTCTTTCTTTCTTTCTTTCTTTCTTTCTTTCTTTCTTTCTTTCTTTCTTTCTTTCTTTCTTTCTTTCTATGTGAATAAATTGGGTTTAGGATTTGAGGAAGCGGGATGTTTGGTGTGATGGTTTGTGACCCCACAGAAAATTTGACACATGAAGAGAAGCATGTACCGGGCGGTAAGTGAGCACAAATTCACACTCAAGGGCAGAGCAACTGAGATTGTACAGTTGACAGGATATTTTTCCGAGCTTTGCTTCACAAATTTTCCTTTAGACAGGAATGTGGTGAAAGTCAACCCCCACATGTGCACATAAACCTTCAGAGCCAGGTTTCTGTTTTCCCACCTCCTGCTTTCAGCTTCTGCTCCCGACAAAGTCACAACTTCAAAGTCAAAAGCAGAGGGGAGGTGTGACACACACACACACACACACACACACACACACACACACACACACACACACACACACACACACACACACACACACACATGCAGGTCACACATATAACAAGACCCAAGAGTTTGAGATTTTTCTTTTTTTCTTCCTTTTGGTCTTTTGCTGTGGGGCTCCTTCCCCTTTCGTGATGTGTAATTGAAGCTGTGTGCAATTTCATTGTCGTGTTTCAAAGGAATCCCACCTGGAGCTGAACCATAACCCCTATTATTGTAGCACATTCCCTTTGAAGTACAGAGCCCTGCTCTTAGTTACCTTTTCCCTGCCCACCTTCATCTATCATCATTACGCAACATTTTAGTTTTATTACAGAAAACAACAACATCTTTAAGAATAATGTTTTGGTTAAAAAAAAGCTATGCTTGTGGCAAAAGGCTTGAATTTCACGTTCCTTTCCTGTCTTCTTACTCCAGGTGGTTGAAGCCCTTCCTGAGTATTCAATTAAATTTGTGGGTTCCTTAGTTAGGGCAACCTTTTTTAAACAGCTGAATCTATTTTTTTTATGTTTTAGTTTTCTGAACTAAAATGACAGCTAACATTTGGCTCACACTCTGAATCTGTTGTAGCTCGTTTGGACTTGCTGCTTTTGTGTCATTAAAGATGAGATGGTGCTTTAAAAATAAATAAACTTGAATTGTATTCCCATTTTTAACTGAACCTGTGTACTGTGGCCTTGTACTTGGAAATGGGCTTTATTTTGAAGGTGGGATATAATATATATTTTTTGGTACTTGAGAAAAAGAAGCATCCTTTTGATTAAAAAACGGTCTATCCAGGAAAAACTTCTGGAACAAATGCTGGCTGGTGGTACTTTCAATGCCTTCAAAGATTTTCTTCCTTTAGAGAAAAGGAATGGATACAAGGTGGCTCTGGTGGGGTCATCAGAGGAGTTCAGCTTGCACACATGCACCTGCAGTGGAAATGCATCACAAAGCACAGCCAACAGTGCCTATAAACACAGCTGACACCCTTACACACAGGGAGGTCAGTCAGCCTGCCTGTCGGCGTGACAGTAAACCTTTAATGAGTAATAAAAAGAGCCTGACCTTGAGCACCGCATGGGGCTCTCTGGCTCTGATCCCTTCGGAGAAAGTGCTGAATGAAGCAGTAGTTGGAGTGAGACAGGAACAATAATTCAAGCAGCATGAGGGAAGAACTAACTACTCGTCTTTTTGGTCAAGATTTGTTTGTTTATATGAAGCATAAGAAATTATAAACTCAATTAAAATAAATAATAGCAACATTTTTACCTGATAGTCTAAATTATGGGATTTTAAATTATTCTCATTAGGTCTAATTTAAGGTAAAATAAATATTAGATTTTTAAGGTTCTCTGAAATGTTCTAATTTGCTCTTAAGACGGTAGAATTTATTTAAATTGTTGATCCAAAAATCTTTCCTCTACCTCCATCATGTGGTTATGATCAGAATGTGTTCAATACTGTGTTTTAGGACCAAAATCACAGCACAGCAGAAGAAATACAGCACTTATCATTTCTCTGTGATTAAATAATTGAGGAGTCTAAATGAGAAATGTACATTTGCATTGAGCAAACTTTGCAAAATCATTGTTTTATTTGTCCATACGATGATTTTTATTGTCTGTTACCAAAAGCTGTTTTTGTTTTTGTCTTTTTGTTAAGAAGATAAATTATGAAACACTAGACAGATTTCTATGCCACTCTAAAAAAAATAATCAATCGGAAATACTTCAATAAAAGCCCTCTCCAGACATTAAAATGACTCAATAATGCTGCTAATTTTCCTGCTGACCTCAAAAAATAATAAAAAACACAACGAAACTGCAGAAGCAGATTTTAATTACCATTCACTTACATTGTGCTAAACTAAAGCTAACAAAGTGCTGCCAGATTAGGAGAATGATGGGCTGGTTGCATACATGTTCTTTCCCACTAATCTAACTTTGGGCAACAGATTCAGGCCCTGTCCACACGTAGCCGGGGATCTGCCAAAACGTAGATATTTTTCTACGTTTTGGCCTGTCATCCACATGAAAACTGAGTTTTTTCACACAAAAACGGATCTTTTTAAAAACTCCGGCCAAAGTGAAGATCTGCGTTTTCTCCGTTTTGGGTGTCTGCGTGTGGACAGACAAAACCGGAGTTTTAAGGTCCGCAACGTCACTTTCCGCGACAAAAAAATGCTGACATCACGTGTGCGACCTGTGTTTACACCAGCCGACAGCATGGATGCCCTCAGAGCTGCGCTCGCTTTTTCAATTGTCCAAGCGCTCTTTGCTTGTTTGTTTTTGCAAGCGGAGTTACTGCTCCTTGCGGAAGACCACAGACGAAGGACGAGGTTAAGAACGGGGGAGATACTGTTGCCTACAGGTCTGGCATGTCCTTAACAACGTATTTATCTGGGTACGTGTGGACAGTTTTCTTTTTAAAACGAGGTGGTGTGGGTGCAAGTTTTTGGAGGGGCGGATATTCGTTTAAAAAAAAACAGCTACGTGTGGACTAGGCCTAAATTGCACCAAAAGGAATATCCATTTAAAGTTTCTTTGTTTGACCTTCATAAAAACTAAAAGAGGTAACAACAATCAACCAAACAACATGTTTTTAGTTTAACATTTCATTTATTGTCCAATTTGTTATCAGTAGACTCAGAGAAATAAAATGTATTTATTCCTTTTGTTCTTAAACATTCTCTTAAACAAAAATATAACAACTATTTACAATCACTTGTAAAAAATACATAAAAGCGTACAAGCAAAGATCATGTTGTCTTTCTAAAAGACATAAGTTACAACGGCTATACATGTGAGACCAAAGCGAAAAACGGGAAGCCACAGACCGACTGAATACCTCTTTGTACATATTGTGCCGCTCACTCGCCACATTTAAGTCCTAGAGTTTCACCGTCTATTTTCTATCAGAAGCTAATGCTGGAGATAGGGTGTGGGAGACTATTTTCATGTTCAGCCTGCACGAAAAGCTCAGAGTGACTGATTATTTTCAGATATAATATTTTTAAAATTGTTTTTCGCTGTTCCACACCTTTAAACTATCATTTCAGCACATCTGAATTCTGGGTGAGATTAAAAAAAGGGGTTGAAGTTGTGTGTTCTGCTTTAAAATCTAAATACAGAACTTTAATACTGATATTAGGAAGACAGTTGTGCAATAAAAGAAGCTGTCAGTTTCTGACAATGAATGATTAATTAAAAAACTAACATTTTGGTAAAATATCTCCTTTCAGTCATTTTGCTTTAGGTTTGAATGAAGGAAGAAGCCATCAGGAGAAAAACTGTAAACTAAGAGTCCTAAATATCATTCTACAACAGAAACACACACAACCAGGGCTCCACATCCCAAAACAAAGCAGCCATTAAAGCCCAAAATCAGGCAGCGACAACAGAAACAACAAAACAGGGAAAATCACCACCTTAGATTTTTCATTTTTAACAAAATATTCAAAAAATAGCCTCTATAAAGAGCCCTCTTTGCTCATTTGTACAGTTTACATTTAAATTATGGCAAAGAAACAGCAAAAAATATAGATTTGTATATCTGCTGCGTATATATTAGCACTGATCATTTCAAGTCTTTGTGTGGCAAGAACAATTTACAAGAAGCAACACAAGACCAAACAAAGTTCCAGTTACACCCCTACATAGAGACAAAAAGGGAAGCTTTCTAATACGTACATATCTATACCAATGTACAAGTTTAAATAAACAATTTCAAGCACATTCTTTTTATATTTTACAAAATTTACTACAAACACGGAATGAAGACGTAGGTGTAAAAATGTGCCGTGCTGTTTCTCGCACGTTCAGATATGCATCACCCTAACTAAACTTGTAGCTTGTAATTTCACACACATCTGCTAATAAACACAGTACACAAAATCTGTAGCCGTAAACACTGTCTGTTGGTTTTGTGCACGTCAAAACGAAGCTTCTGATGTGTGTGTTTCCACGTGCATGCACAACTGCGTGACCACGCATTGCTATTTAAAAATTTTTTTTTACAGTGGCTGCAATAAAATCACCACACGTGTTTTACTCAACATGAAGCAGTGCGCCATTTGTTCTTCAGTTCATTAAAAGATGTTATTATACATATTTTATAGAACGATCAGGAGGCGGCGTGCTGCTAAAGTACCTCACACATCAGAAAGAACGAGTAAGTATCAAAGAGCTGAGCGGAGGAGTGCGAGGCGCAAAAAAATGCTGAAAAATGTCAAGTAAAGCAACCAATAAGTGCAAAAACACGCTTTCCGTTTCTTCAGGAAGAAGGAAAATGGGCTTTCTGAGATTTTCCCTTCAGATCTTCACATTCACGATCCCCTACGTTCCAAAAACAGCTCGTGTTTGTTTGCTTTTCCTTGTTGTTCTCATGTCAAAAGTATCGCAAAAAAAAACTTGAGAAAAAGAAAAAAATATTGTAATAACAACAAAAAGCAACAACATGTACAATACTTTACACTGTAAAAAACACTTTGAGACAAGTGAGCTTTGAGCACAAATGGAGGTAAATGGTGGTCTGCTTCCAGAGAGGCATTGTTGTTGCTGCTCTGTCCTTCTACAATGTCATTCGGTCACACCATAATTTTTCTGCTTTTGTTCAAAAGTTCTCGAGTCTGTAAAAGTCTTTGATTTGTGAGAGGAGCTCATAAAAGGAGTGATGAGAGAGGTTGCACGGAACCCATGGGTCAGTGGGCGGAGCTGGAGAATGTGCTGTGGAGGAGGGCGGGTTCAGTCCAAAGCCCCATTGACACAACTCGATCTGCACGGGTGTGTGAGGGTGAGTGAGTGAATTTACACTGCTGATACTTGTTCATCTGAAAAAGATGAAAAAACAATGGTCAAAATTGTTTAAAGTAACATTAAATGTCTTAACCACTCCTGGCCCTAGAGCAGGAATTACAACCGTTACAATAGGGCTGGGCAATATATCGATGTTTTTAAAATATCGATATAATTTTTAAACAAGATATAAGATGACTTTATATCTTTATATTGATATAACTGGTCAAACTGCTCTGCTAGCGATAAGCCGCA